CTGGCACACGCCCTTGTGCCCGTTGGCCGCCGCCGCGTGCAGCGCGGTCCAGCCCTGCCACGCGGGGCGCGGTTGTTCCTCGTCCTCTTGTCGCAAGTCCTATTACTGCCACTAGTGCTACTCCCCGTGGATTGCTTGCTGCATATTCTTATTCGAGAAGATTCGATATTGGTATGCTTCTCATCATGAGTACATCCCCAGGACAAATTTGTCCTCCCCGCGCGCATGAGGGAAACATCGGCAGATCCAATGAAGGTGGCGCGGATCCGAATCCAACCAGCCCCCTGAGTGTGAGCGGTTTAGCGAGTTTCCTACTCCGTGCTCCCTCTTCGCCTTCGGGGAGGGGTTGAGCCCTCCCCGAACTCCCTCCCCCTTGACCTGGAGGGGTGGGGTCGCGAAGGGTCAGAACGTCCAAAACGGCCTCGGCGAGACAACCAAAATCACTGACGTAGCAAAGGTTTGGGCCACATGCTGGCCTCCTAGGGGGGGGGACCCTAATGTACTACGGCCCCTCCTTTAATCGATCTCCTACACGATGGCACCAAGATGGCCCCCGAGGCTCCCAAGGGTGCCCCAAGACTGCTCCGAGAGGTGGTCAGGGGCCCCAAGAGGCCCCCAAGAGGCCCCCAGGATGCCCCCCAAGAGTCCCAAAAGACTCCCAAGAGACCCCCGAGAGGCTCCCCAAGGGCACCCAAGACGCCCCAAGAAGCCTCGGCGAGAAAACCATGATCACTGGCATCGACCCGTTTCACGTTCCAGAATCACCCTGGAACGGTTCCGGGGTGAAAATTGGAACCTTGAACGGGTGATTTTCCATCTGGGCGCTCTCAGGAGCCTTGTGGGTGCCTCTCGGGGATGGGGGGGGTACCCGAGCCCCCAAAATGGCCATATTCCAAATGAAATCTCTGATTGGGGAGCTTGTTTTTCGCGACTGGGCCCTCCCGTTCAGCGTCGGGAGGTCGCAGATGGACTTTCACCCCGGAACCGTTCCAGGGTGAAAATCCATCTGGAACCATCACCCAGCGCAAAACGGCTCTCTCGGGGATGGGGGGGGGTACCCGAGCCCCAAAATCCCAGCACAGCTCTGGCAAGTCCCATTCTAAGAGAGGGGGGCCGGCGGCATGGGGGCGAAGCCCTTACGGATAATACCTCCGTCTTCCCCAACCTCCTCCTCGTTCCTGCTCGCTCTTTCCCCTTCGTCCTCGTTCCTTCTTTCTCCCCCTCCCCTCCTTCTCGTTCCTGCTCCTCGTCCTTTTCCGCCTCCTCCCCATCCTCCTCTTACTCCTCTTCCTCCTCCTCATCCTCCTCTTCCTCCTTCTCCTCCGCCTTCGCTTCCTCCTCCTCCTCCTCCTCCTTCTCCTCCTCCTCCTCCTCCCCCTTCTCCTCTTTCTCCTCCTCCTCCTCCCCTCCGCCGCTAGCCGTCGCCTGGCACGTGCCCCCGGAAGCCCTCTCGTCCACGGCGGCTTTGCTCCCGAGAAGCAGCTCCACGCTCTCAAGGGCGCCGGCCCTGCGCTTCGGGAGGCGGACGGAAGCGTCGGGAGGCGGCGGGGAGGGCGGGTGAGGCGGTTGGCAACGAGGGAAGATGATGAGAGAGGAGGATGAAGAAGAACGAGGAGGAGGAGGAGGACCAGTGTTAACACAAGATTCATCAACGATGTTGGGATACATCCTCCCTCCAAGCTCCCTCTTCAGAGGCCACATACAAAAATTGTCTTCCTCTGAGGGACGTGCCCCATTGGAAAACAACCGTCTGAAAATCATGAAGCGTGCTAAAATACCATTCTCAGGACTTCAACGCCACTAGCCAACCTCACTGTTGCGCGTCGGCGATCCTGCCTCGTGCCAGATCACCATTCCTGGGACTTCAACACCAAGAATCAACGTAAGTGATGCGCCCTGACAATACTGAATCGCTCGAAAGCACCATTCTGGAAGATTAACCATGAGAATCCGCTGAATTCCTGCATGTGTTTAAAACGGATGCGCGCGGCGCTAAGACGAGAGCCACACTTTGGAAACCACGAGCCCTCAAGCCACGAAACTATTGAAATGTTGTGTATATAGAATGAAACATCATTCAAACATCCAACGAAAACGAATGTGCGCGGCGATAAGGCGAGGGCTACATGTTGAACACGGCCTGCCCTCAATACATGAAACTCTTGCATATGTTTAAAAAGAATGCGCGCGCCGCTAAGGCGGGAATCACATTTCGACAACCACCCGCCCTCAACCCGCGAAAGTCTCTCAAATCTTCAAAATGAATGTGCGCGGCGCTGAGGTTAGAGCCACATGTTGAAAACAACCCGCCCTCAATCCGTGAAACTCTTGCAAAGTTTTAGACAGGATGTGCCCAGCGCTAAGGCGAGAGCGGCATATTGGAAGCGACACGCCCTGAATGTGTGAAACGGTTGCCCGTTTTTACGCTGCAGGCTCATAAATGGTAAGGACATCTCAAGCGAAACGCCCGGCGCGCCCTTCCGACTGGCATCGGGGTGCGACAGGGAGGAGTTTTCATAAGCAGAAGGAATCGAGGAAGAGGAGGAGGAGGAGGAGGAGGAGGAGGGAGGAGGAGGAGGAGGAGGGAGGAGGAGGAGGGAGGAGGAGGAGGAACGAGGAGGACGGAGGAACAGGGAGGGGGGGAGGTGGAGGCGGTGGAGGAGGAGGAAGCGGAGTCGGTGGAGAAGGACAGGGGAGGAAAGTCAGGAGAGAAGAGGCCGTTTCCTCCTCGCTCTCCTCGTCAGGGAGGGCGCCGTGAGAAGGTGACGAGGAGGTGGGCGGTCGACGCGTTGTTCATACATATCTGCTCCTGCCACGACTCCCCGATGGGCGCGGATGAAAAACACGGGATTCGTAGACATGCCCTGCCTAGATGTCGCCCCCACAAGGAGAGGGTTCAGCGGGGCTATGGACGGAACGTCGATCGAAAACGGGGGAGGACTTCCGAAAGATGGCGGTTATGTCGTCTGTGTCTTCTGTAGACGGGCCCAACGAGCTGACGAGTGAGGCAACAGGAGGTCCCTGGAAGTCTCCCAACGAAGCACAAAGGCCTCGCGCCTCGCGCTTCGCTCCTCGCTCCCCCTACGCCCCGCTCCTCCTCCACCTCCTCCTCCGCCTCCTCCTCCTGCTCCTCCTCCTCCTCCTCCTCCGCCTCCTCCTCCGCCGCCGCCTCCTCCGCCGCCGCCTCCTCGTTCCTCGGGCGTCCGCCCTCATCCTCCTCCTCCTCCTCCTCCTCCTCCTCCTCCTCCTCCCTCCTCCTCCTCATCCTCCTCCTCCTCATCCTCCTCCTCCTCCTCTTCATCATCATCCTCATCCTCATCCTCATCCTCGTCCTCATCCTCATCCTCATCCTCCGCCTCCTCCTCGTCCTCTTCATCATTATCCTCCTCCTCGGGCGTTCTGCCTCCTCCTCCTGCTCCTCCTCCTCCGCCTCCTCCTCCTCCGCCTCCTCCTCCTCATCCTCCTACTCCTCGAGCGTCCTTCCTCCCCCAACTTCCGCGAGGCGGCGCCCACCCCGCAAGGAGGGGCGCAGCAGCCCGCTGCGCGGAGAGAGAGGCGGGCGGAGGGACCCCGCCTGGCGGCCACGAGCAGCAGCGGCTCGCCAGCCCCGTTCCTGGAGGCGGCGGGGCAGGGCGCCCTCGAGAGGGGCCAGTCGGCGGCGCACCCGGGGTGAAGCGAGAAGGAGAAGGCCTTCTCGGAAGGCTCGGAAGTCCCCCGGCCTTCTGAGGAGGGTTCTAAGCCTTCCACGAAGACGCTGGAAACTTCTCAGAAGGCCAGGGGGCTTCTGAGAAGCCCCGCCGCCCTCTGAGAAGGCCTTCTCCTTCTCGTTTCCCCCCCTCGCTCGCCGCTGAGCCAGATATCCGACGATGTGGGCGACGAGAAGAAGCGGGTCTCACGCGAGATGGCTCAAGGCTAAACAGGGTTGTTCCCTGCCTAGGCTCTGCCTAGAGGGTTCTTACTTGGTTTGCTTAAAGGGGCGGGCAGTGGAAAACGCCCCAGGCGGTTCCCCCAGTCCCCGCCCCGCCGTTTCCCCAGGTACGTCCCCTTAGCTTAGCGTTGCTTATCTCATATTAGCTTAGCTTAGCTTAGCTTCATATTAGTTTCGCTTAGCTTAGCTTAGCTTAGCGTAGCTTAGCTTAGCGTAGCGCTGAGTATCTCATATTAGCTTAGGTTTAGCTTAGATGTAGCTTAGATTTAACTTAGCTTTAGCTTAGCTTTAGCTTAGCGTTAGCTTAGATTTAGTTTAGATTGAGCTTAGTGTTAGCTTAGTGTGAGCTTAGTTTTAACTTAGCTTTAACTTAGATTTAGCTTAGAGTTAGCTTAGCTCCAGCTTAGATTTAGCGCAGCTGTAGCTTAGCTTTAGCTTAGTGTTAGCTTAGTTGTAGCTTAGCTTTAGCTTAGATTTAGCGTAGCAGTAGCTTAGATGTAGCTTAGATGTAGCTTATAGTTAGTAGATTTAGCTTAGCTTTAGCTTAACTTTAGCTTAGCTTTAGCTTAGCTGTAGATGTAACCTAGTTTTGATGTACCTGCAGCTTACCTGCAGCTTAGCTTTAGTTTAGCTTTAGCTTAGCTGTAGCTGAGCTTCAGCTTAGTTTTAGCTTAACTTTAGCTTAGCTTTAGCTTAGCTTTGTCTTAGCTTTAGCTTAGCTCTACTGATACTACTAATACTGCTTTGCTAGGGGCTCCAACTCCTAGGTAGGGTCGCACTGGGATAATCAGTTTTCATGTTGTTGCCGTTTTCCTTCGTTACGTTTTCGTTATGCATTTGCTGCAAGACGAAACCAAAACGAAAACGGCCCACGAAATCGCCATAACACAGCTCAGCTCGAGCCCTTAGAGGACAAAGCGACCTCACGAGGCGGTTGGCGCGGGACGCCAGCGCGGCCCGCAAATTGGAAGCGAGGGAGCCCACGCACGACCTTGCGCGAGCAGCTTACGCGCCAATGTCGGTGAAGACGACGCTGCGTCACTCGTAAGAACTGTCCTCGGCTTCAGCCCTCGGGGGCCGTTGTCGGGCCCTGGCCATCAGAAATGGGCCCGGGGCGAAAGCCTGGCTCTGGGCACGGGGTCGAGACTTCTGGAGCCGCGGATGGAAACGATCACGTCGGCGGGCAAGTTGTTCCTATTTTGGGCCCCGGGAACGTCAATGAACGACCCGGGGTGAAAAACTGGTCGTGGAGAATGGGTCGAGACCTGTCGGCGCGCACAAGGGGGTAGGGGGAGGTGGGAAGGCTTCTTAAAGGAGGCCACTTCTCAGAAGGCGCCGGCCCTACATCTGTAGACAAGGGCCGCGCCTTCTAGGAAGCAGGGGTGCTTCTAAGAAGCCGCCCCCCCTCCCCCTACCCCTTCTGCGCGTGGCCGAGAGACCTCCAGGGTTTGGGGAAAATCATGACGTCGGGCGGCTTTCAAGGGGCCCATGGACACAGGAAAAATAGACACCAGATCCCAAAACTCAATATGTTTGCCCATGTTTTCCGGATGTCCGTCTTCCCCCCCCCCCACACTTCCCACATCTTCCAAGTCTTCCCGTCATCCCCCATCTTCCTGGGAATCGGTGGCGATTCATCGTGCCTTTCTGAGTCTTGGGGGGCCAGATAGGCGGAGGGCCCGCCAAGACAACGGCGGCCCTCCCCGGCAGACCGTCCCTGCTGGGCCTCCCAGCGGCCTCTCGCCGCCCCACGGACCTGGGCCCGCCTCGAGGCGACGGGTCGAGACCCAGACCCCCGACGCTTGGACTTTGCCAGAACGGGGTCCCCCTCCGCCTACCCCTCCTCCTCCTCCTTCTCCTCCTCCTCCCCCTCCTCCTCCTCCTCCTCCTCCTCCTCCTCCTCCTCCTCCTCCTCCTCCTCCTCCTCCTCCTCCTCCTCCTCCTCCCCCTCCTCCTGCTCCTCCTCCTCCATTCCTTCTCCATTCCTTCTCCATTCCTTCTCCTATAAATAACTTCTCCCGGTCGCAACCAGAAGCAAGTTTTTAGGGCGGGCCGATGGTTTCGCTTGAGGCTTCCCCACCATGTATGACCCTGAAGCTTGAAAATTGGCAACAGCTTCACAGTTGGAGGGAGGGTCGTTTTCAAAATGTGACTCTCGCCTCAGCGCCCATTCGTTTCCGAAATTCGCAAGAGTTGCACGAATTGAGGGCGGGTGGTTTTCGAAATGTGGCTCTCGCCTCAGCAACACGCACATTCGTTTTAAAAAACTGCAGGAGTTTCACGGATTGAGGGCGGCTCCTCTGAAAAATGTGGCTCTCGCCTGAGCGCCGCGCACACTCGTCTTCAAAAACTGCAGAAACTTCACAGATTGAGGGCGGGTCGTTTTCAAGATGTGACTCTCGCCTCAGCGCCGCGCACATTCGGTTTAAACATGTGCTAGAGTTTCGCGGGTTCCCATGGCCAGCGTGCCAAAAATTGTGTTATGGGAAGTATTCAGGATTATGAGGGCGCGACAGTTACGTTGATTCGCTGTGTTGAAATCTCAGGAACGGCGTTCGGGTACGATTCAAGATCGTCAAGACGCAACAATCAGTACGATCCGTGGCGCTAGCATTCCGAAAACATTGTTTTGGCATGCTTCAAGGTCTTCAAACGGTTGTCTTCCAACGAGTCAGCTCCATCAGTGGAAATGAACCGTTCTAGGGGCCTATGAAAAGAGAGTTCGGAGGGAGGGTTTATTCCAACATCGTTGATGACTCTTGGGTTTCCACTGGTCCTCATCCTCCTCCTCTTCCTCCTCCTCCCTCCTCCCTCCTCCCTCCTCGGGGATCTATTTCGGCAGCGATCGAGGGGGGGAAGTGAGATCTCGCATTATTGGAGAAGTCTCCTGCGTCTTCAGGGGGGGTCTCAGAAAACTTCTCAGAAGGCCGGCAGACTTCCGAGACTTTTGAGAAGGCCCCGCCCTTCTCACTTCCCCCCGGGCGCGCCGCCAACTACTGACCGGAGTCAATCCAGACCCGGGTCAGTCAGGCTTTGCAGGATCCTGCACCCAAGCCTGGGTCAGTGCCAACCCCGGCCCTGCAGGATCCTGCAAGATCTGGCGTTCTGGCTGACCCCCGTTTGCATTGACCACCGTCGCTTGAGCCCCGACTGGAAGTCTCGACCCAGTCCCCGACACTGGCGATTCATCCTGAATCGTTCAAGGACGGTCCCGACGCCTGGCAAGGGCACCCAGAGGCCGACAGTAGCGACGCTGTTTTGTTCACGACGTGAGGGGGTCAGAGGATGGACCCATGCAGGGGCCCCGGTACCGATTTTCAGCGGATGGGAGAACTGCCGTTGTCTCGACTGGCTCTCCGCCGCCCAGCTGACGGCAGGACGACACGTCCTGGCCGAGGGGCCGAAGGTCGGCTCGAGCTCGAGGCAGGCCGGCGGGATGCCGACGACGACGACGATGACGACAACGACCTCGGAATCTCTCCACCTTCCTGTTCCCCACGAAATACTCTGCGCGCAGGTCTAAATTGGCGCAGGCCTGCAAACTCAGCACGCGCTTAACGGACGGGTCGTCCTCGGCGTCTCGCGCTTGTCGAAAACTTTTATCCTGCAGCTCAATGGATGCTCCTTGGGTTATCTCGGGGGCCCCGTAGAACTCTTCTCCCCACACTGGGCGGCAACCTCTCCAACCATGGAAGCAAACTTCCCCGGGGAGGGCAAGGGTAGCCCCTGTCTGTCCAGGCGAGTCATCGTCGAGGTATCGGGCGGAGCATCCGTTGTGTTGCTGTTCGGGGGCACGTATCTCGTCTTGCGCGGCTTGTCTAGCACCTCCGTCCACGCCTGCGAGAAGAGGCCTGCAGGTGACGAAGCTGTGCATTTGCGAAATATAAGCTGAACCTCATTCAAAGGGATATCCGCGGTCCTCAGAAATTAACGGAACTCCGAACCATTAAACTTCGGGATCTAATAGGGCCAAGAGCGCCCCCAGCGGTAAGGCCCCTGAGGGCCTCGGTGATTGCGCCCTCCCTCTTCGGCTAGATGATCCAGGTATAATAAACTGTCCTCCGCTTCTTCACCAAGGACCAAACAAAACAAACCAGCATATAAACGATAACGTTATTCTTAAGTCAAAACTTGTTATCCAAGATGCCCAACACGTAGGTCGAGTCAACTATGACCTCAATGGGGTCGCCCTTCGGGACGCAGGTCTCTTTCCCCTACAAGTCGGATCCGAGCAGCCAGAGGCCCCGCTCAGTTCTGAGGTGTTGTTCGCGTGTCTCACGCTGCCTAAATATGCCCCACTGTCAGGGTCCATGCACACAGAAATACAAGCACGGAAAATGGGATCGACTCGGGTTCCAGGGGTTCTCGAGTTAAAAGGGATACCAGGGGGTCGTCAAAAACAACAAAACCCCATCCACACGTGGCTCTAGACTTGGAATAGTTCTTGAAATGTCCACCACTGTACAAACGGAAACGCACTTTGTTTAGATCGTCACCTGGGGTTGCCAGGTCAGCAATCCCCATCTTCTCATCAACGAGCCTGACATAAAAGAAATCAAAAAGCTTCCAGCCCACGGGCTTGGACTCAAAAGCACAGGAAATGTTCGGCACAAAAAAACAGGGCGCATGCGAAACTTCCGAGCGGTATAACAGCGGAAAACGAGCGGGCAGCGGTCACTCTCCCACGCAGCACAATGGCGGGCCTGACAATCGAAAGATCGTCGGGCGACCTGACTGCTGACCGCGATGAAATCTACACGCCTGGGCTAGTACGCGCCGTCGTAGAAGCAAGTAGCCCGCCCTGCGGTAGGTTCACCCCAGGTGTTAGTCAGCACGAGATTTTGGCGCGCGATCATCGCGGAAAACATCTGACTTCCAGAAGGTCACTCCAGCCGCGAAGGGCCCCATCGAGGTCGTCGGGCGCCGATCCGCGCTGAAAGACGCTTCCGCACCAATGCACAACACAGGGCTAAACTGGCACGGCGCCCTCTGCAGCAGAAACTCACAGTCCTCTAAGTCATTGCAGCGCGCAGCGTAGCGATTAGAACCGGAATCGAGATGAGAGCAAACTATCCATGAAGGTCCGCCGCGGGGCGTCAGAATGCCCGCGGCGATGCTATTCCCCTTCGCACGGGGTCAGCAGAGATACAGGCCTTCAGCGACTTGTGCACCAAGATCGCAGGTCGTCTTTTCCGCCCCCTGATAGGGAGCCCTAGAGACACTGGATGGCCCGAGATCTCTTCCTGATCAAAATTGGCCACGTCCGTGAATTCTTGCACGCAGATGACGCCCCAGTGGATCTCAGCACTCATAAGATTCAGCCCCCGCGCGGCACCTTTGAGCGGAACTCCCCGACCATTCCGCGACAAGATGATGGCGTCGCCGCTGGATGCGAGTACACGCTGTCCCCCAAATAGTCACGAGCCCCGCCGCGGCGGGTCATTGATCGCCTCCAGCTGGCTCTGCAAGTCCAGCGGCAAGCCGATATTCGCGAACCTGTCCTGAGCCCCCTGCGCCACCTTCAGGTTGTAGGTCGGGAAGTTACGCACGAACACCTTCAGAGGGTTCCTCGGCATCACCTCTGGCGGCAGATATTTTCGAAGGAGGACCACAGAGCCCATGTCTTTGGTTGCATCGATGGCCATGTTGATTGTGTCCAAGGGCAGCTCTGGCCATTTCGCCTGGATGATGGGGCGAAGCAGGTCCTTCGCGCGTGTGGCTCTGTTCTGGCAAGCAAGCTCCTCGGGAAATTTGTCTATGGTGTGCCACAGCTGACGTTTGCCTGGATTCAGCGGGCAGGGGGTCCGATCTGCTATTGCGAGCGTCGACGAAAACTTCTTGCCCTTCATCTTCACGAAACAATCCCACATCCGTTGTGGGCATTCGAACTCAACCTTCACCGTGTCCGCGTAGCTCCCGACGGGGAAAACGCGACGGACCCCGAGCAGGCGACTGTCTCTCAAGCATTGGTTGATGTCGCTCGCGATGTCGACCCCCTCCGTGTACTCAAAACCACCAATGCACAACGACTGGCGCTTATTCACTGGAATACACTGGGCGGGCGGCGGCACA